ATATTTGCAACTGTTCGTTATTGAACGGCAAATCTGTCTTTTGTCTGATATTCAATGTTTATATTGCAGCTTTAAAAGATGACTATTGTTCATTATTTTTATCAAAATATTTCAAATTATACAGAATATTATAGAAGTTATTGTAAATAATGTGTAAATTTTTTTTCTTAAACTCTTTTAATCTCAAAATTTTTCTGCTGAATTTTCAATCTCTTACTCAAAATTTCTGTTTACTTTTGATATATATTTAGAAAAATTACTTTACATAAGAGTTTATCACACCAAGTAACCAATCTAACATATTTTAAAATTATGTACAGTACAGTAAAAATAAAAAATTTTAAAAATGTCTTAGATTGGTCACTCGATGTGATATACTCCTACGTAACTATATAACTACCTTTAACGTTATATAACTGCCTTTGTAGTTATATAAATCAAATACTACAATATAACGAACACTAAAGCGAAAAGCATAAAATGTGTTTGGTTATATCAGCCTTCCATTGTTACGTTTATCGCGGTACTTGAAAGATACGCAATAATACAAGTTCATCCATCAAGTAGTAAGCAATTAAATCAGCCATATAATATCTTAAAATATTTAAGATATCATTTTTTCCTTAATATTAACTCTAAGGAACTGTACCATTCGCAGCCGAATATTAAAACAGTAGAGCGTTGTTTATCCGAAGGTCGGTTATCCGAAGGAATTCCAGTCGACAAATTTAAATTTTCGCCAGTGCTGTGGCGCTGTAATCTTTGGCTATGTCTTCGGCTACTCAAATATTTTACGTTTTTGATACTAAATTAACTTCTGAAGTATAATTTTTTATTGTTTTTATATTTTTCAATATATTTATTTTGTTTGTACAAAATAAAAAAATAATTTTTAATGATACAATAGTCTTCGTTAGGCTTAACATCGACGAAAATTCAACGTGAAGCGACTCACAACGGAGAAAAATTTCAACACGGGATAAATTAATATATTTTTTCGTACATAATTGGTTATCCGAACAACCCCAGTCCCCAATTGATTCGGATAAATGACGCTCTACTGTATTTTCGAATTTATTTTTTTTTTATTTTAATTTTCAAAAATGTGCACCTGCATCGGTCATTATAGTACCACGTCATACATAGCTGCCATGCTGTCATGATTTTTTTTTTTTTTGGTCCTTAAAATTGATTGACAGGCCTTGGCAGTTTGCTTTAAAAATTTCTAATGTCTCCCAATTCTGTAGTTGGTTTATATGACGAGTTTGCCGGATTATTGTCACTTGTGTAGTTCAGGTATAATGCTGTTCTCATTGGCATATATAGCTAAAGTGGTAGTGCTTTTCTTTTCAATATCCATTTTATGTTCACAGAGGCATTGTTTGAGCGATCTTTTTATAGATCTGATATATACAAGGTCCCTGTTGAATCTGTTATCTCTTAACGGAATCTTATATACTCCCAGTGTTCTTTTGATTTCTGTTCTATCTTTCTCATTCCGTAGCATGTCGAATGTATCTGGCTTACATCTATAGCCTATTTTTTGCATTAGTATAAGCCCCAGTTTCTCAATATAGCGAATGCATATGGCACTCGTAAGTTATAGCGATACAATAGGGAGGTGTATCCTCCTGTGAACCATTTTTCATAGCCCTATTCAATTGATCTTTGGGTTTGATTTTTTTGTTCGTCATTCTATATATTAAGCTTTTATTATAGCTGTGGTTTTCAGCAATTTTTGCTAGTCTTCTTATTTCCATCCATTTTATCTTGTTCTCTGTTACATTGTGCGTAGGCTCTTCTGGTAAGTGCTCTAAAGGCTGTGATTTTGTAGTTGTATGGATCGTTAGAGCACTTACCAGAAGAGCCTATACACAATTCATTGTTTGTGAATTGTTTTGCACATCTTCAAATGTCATTAAATGTTATGCTGCAGGATCTTTTGCTATGTCCAAACTGGTTTATTGAGTGGTAACAGAACATTGTTCAAATGTTGTTACATAGATGTGAACAAAGCTTAAGGTGTATACTGCTTTTTTTTTTTTTAATTGTTGGTCCAAGGCGTATTACCATGTTCACAGACCAGAATTTTATCAGTCTGAAGAAAAATATTTGATTGTACTGATGCTATCACAGTTAATTACATGTGACATTTAAATAGTAATCTATTGTTACTCTTTAAAATTACCTTCTCAATAACTGGAACAAATTACTAAACACATTACAAAACCTTTAACATTCAGTAATGAAAACTTTTACATTAAAAATTTTCATTACTTTATCTTAAAGGTTTTGTTAAATGTTTTTAGAGTTACTCTACATACTTTATTACATACAGTAACTCTATATAAGCATAAATATGCATAATTCATAGTCACATATAATTATTGGTCCACAATGAGAAAAAGAATGAAAAATTACAAATGTACAGTATTCATATTTTTTACTGGATGCTTGCCCTCTTGTATTTAAAAACAAAACTATTTTATCTGGGTTGTTTGAATTGTTCTTGTGTATTGTCAGCAGTAAAGATGAATAGCAATAGGAAAAGCAAAGCTTTCTGTTGCATTCCAAATCCATACAGGAGCCCAATGTAAGTTTTAATCTATTCCCACATGAAAAACAGATGATTCTTTGGAAATCAGAATTCAGAGAAACTCATAAATGTAACCAACAGAAAGAGTGGATTTGACTGTTAAGAACTGGAAAACAGTTTCCTGATTGTCCAGCTTTACAAGAAAAATTTATGTTGTCAATTTTATAAAATTTTTCCTTAAAATTAAAATGCCAGTAATTTCATGTGGGACAGGTGCCATTTGACAGATGTCAAAGATGAAGTTTGAACATAGAGCACAACTATGTATAGAATGATTGTGGTAATTTCTTTTGATAATACCACATAAAATGACATGTCTTTCTAACAGTAATTGTAAGTGTTTATAAGAGAGCAGAAGAAATTAGAATTTGTGTGCATAATGATGAGAGGTTCAGATTATAGATTGAAATTATGTGAACTCTATGAGGTTGTGTCAGGACCGAGTGTTTACATAGAGGAGTCAACTGTATATAAGTTTGCTTGCAGAATTCCTGAAAATGACCCATTGAACTCCATAGTTTTACAGAACAGTTTGAATAATTGTTGGAATAAACTATTTTTTATGTGGTTATAAAAATTAACATTTAAGTCATATTTTATGTATTGTGCATACAAATAATTGTATGGGTTTCATGATTTCTTTTTACACATTTCACTGACAACATTGACACGCCTGCATCAATAGGTAGGAAAACTTTGTTCTTTTCATATTCTCACATTTACATAGTTATGCATTTGTCTGCCAGGTGGCAAGTTTTCAAAAATGATTATTAATAGCAGTGAAAAGTTTATTGTATCCTGGAATTTCCAAAAATTAGTCCATTGTGTTCAGCAGCATTTCTGTATGAAATTCCAGAAGATCTGCAATTGCCAGATCTGACATCTGGTAATTGTATTCACAGGTGGTATGGAACTGCAGGTGCATATCAGAGCTGCCATTAAAACTGTCAACACAGGCATGCTGCAGCAAGTGTGGGACAAACTGGACTAGTGTGTAGATATCTGTAGAGTGCACATATTGAACATTTCTAACATATGTAAAAAAAACAGAGGGGTCTTGCAAAATAAAAAATAAATTGCAATTCTATTCCAATGTGTGGTGATTTTTTTTAAACTGATAGTCATTTTGAATAGTGCTGTATATTTACAATATAGGAAGTACTGCTGATTTACATTTTTATAAATATTTGTATATAAATATAAATTACTGATAGTTTAATATTTATTTTTAGGATCTAAAGTTTTTAGATGAAACTGATCTTTCTTCAGAGGAGCAGAAGACTATTCAAGATATCCTTAATCCTGCTAATAGTGCTTCTGGAGTAGAGGTATTTATTATTATTTTTTTATATTTGTGTAAACAATAATTAAAGGAAAAATTTTCAAGGATAAAAAACATGTAGACATTAGTATTGTATTTTGGAGAAATAGAACACTATAATGCTGTTTATTACATACTGAATAAATATTTAAGGGAAAAGGTTGTTTATTAATCAAGGAACAACAATTGTTGATGATTTAAAATGAAATTAAAATAATCCAAAGTTAGACCAAGGTTTCTTCAAAAACAATTCTTACTATATTTTAAAGAATTGTTTTAAAAAATTTTTTAAAGAGTGAAGTTAATTTTGCTATTATGTGTTTTATTGCAGTGTAATTACAGATTAATTTAAAGAAACAAAATGTAAAAAGAGATTTGTGTTGCTTTTTGTCAGATTTGCAGTGAAGACAATAATCTATTATTTTCAGGGTTTAGAAATACAATTTTTGAAATTTTCTGTTTGATAAAATATAATATTTAATATAAAACATGACTCATTTCTGTTTTGTGAATTATATTAAAATTGTTTGTCTGTTTTTTCAATGGTCAGATAGTTTCAAATAAATTCAGTAAAAAATATTTTTTTTCTTCTCTTGGTACTTTCATACATTCACATTCCATTATTATTGTGATGTAATGAAACAATTCACTCAATTTGTTCACTGGTATCTAAAAGCTGGGCGTAACAGTGGTAATTGTAATGGGCAAAGTTTCTCTGCAGTTCCTTAAGAGTGTGTTCAAAGATTGCCATTTTGCATCTTTGCAATGAAGTTTAAATCGTGGCTTAATGCATATAAAGCTTTTATTAATCCATAGTTTCTTGTTGAAAACTACTACAAGAAGCTGTGGATTAATGAAAGCTTGCTATTCAGCTTGAAAATGGTGTAAGAAGAGAGACATAGTTGGCATTTACTGAGACAAATCTGGAATTCCAACTTTTATGAGAAAAGAATTGTGCAAGAAAAAAAAATGCAAACTTACTTGGAAAGTTTGCATTTTTTTTTTTTTTTCTTGCCAAACTACTTGCAGAAGATTCTTCAAACAAGATCCTGGTAAAAGGTTATGTTAATATGCAAAAAATCTCTTCCAGTCATTCTAAAAACTTCTACACCTTCAAATATAGCAGTTCTGTATCAATTTAGAGTTAAAGTTCATAAAGATGGATGGCTGTTTGGGACAGTGATAGAAAAATCGTGAGGAAAAGAAACTTCATTATGTTCTATCTAAAGCTAACAGTAACAGTTTAGCAGATGTAAAAGCACTTGCCTCCATCTCTTTAGATAACAATGACTTTCTTACTGTCTTAGACTGCAAGTATATTCCCATCCATCAAAAGTGGTGATAGCTCTCAGACAGTGTATATGCAAAAAGTTCAGTATACCTATTCATCAGTTCAAAATAGTCACTGATTGCATTGATCATGTTCTTAACAATTCATATTCTGTTTGGAAAACAAATGTAGAGGTGTCCCAATGGGAACTCCATCCTCCAGTGACATTACTGAACTGATTCTTAAATGGATAGAAAATCCCTGTATGAAAGCTTGTTCCAAATATATCAAATTCATTCTACATTATGTAGATGACATGGATTGTTAGTGATTTGGAGAGACCATCAAAATTCAATCAAACTTATTAACAAAAATGTAGTAAGCATACCAGTCTCTTTATTCAAATTAATTTCTTCAATATAACTGTATATAAATGTAATAATTGCCTTGGTATTAAAATCTATCATAAACATACAGTAGAGTGTTGATTATCCAAATGCCGATCAACGAAAAGCGTTCCAGTCAGACTGTATCGTGCTGAATCAAATGTTTTTGATATTAGATTAACTTCTAAAGTATAATTTTTTTTGTTTTTACATTTTTCAATATATTTATTTTGTTTGTACAAAATAAAGAAATAATTTTTAATGATACAATAGCCACGATTATTATTATAAAAATTTTTGTTAGGCTTAACATTGACAAAAATTCAACACAAAGCGACACGCAACGGAGAAAAATTTAAACATGGGATATACTAATATGAGGTCTGTTCAAAAAATATGCGGACTTTTTGAATTGCGTGGCTCCAGTTGGTTCCAGGGGAATCTGCTCGGTGTTGCTAGGATTTGTACCGATCGTCTGGTGATAAAGCCATTTCTCAATTACAGATATCTTGATTTGTTGATTAGCTATACGGTTTTTAGTGAAATGCGATTTTTTTCGTTTGTCGGATTTCAGAATGAATGACCTGATGGAGCAACAACTTGCTGTGAAATTTTGTGTTAAACTTGGAAAATCTGCAACTGAAACATTTGCTATGCTCAACATGGCTTACAGTGATGTTGCTATGAAGTGTATGGCATGTTTCAAGTGGTCCCCCAGACCCAAAAAAGCTCACCAAGTTCGATCCAATGTCAAGATGATGCTGACAGTTTTCTTTGATGCTAAGGGTTTTGTTCACCACAAGTACCTTCCCCAAGGCTCCACAGTGAACCAGACTTACTACATTGAAGTTCTGAAACATCTGAGGGACGCCATCCATCGCAAAAATCCAGAAATGTGGAAGAGTGCCGACTGGTTTCTCCATCACGACAATGCTCCAGCCCATCCAGCCCATTCATCCCTCAGAACTCGTGAGTTTATGGTCAAACACTCGATCACTGTTCTTTTCCACTCCTCCTACACTCCTTAACATGCTCCTTGTGACTTTTTCTTGTTCCGCAAAGTCAAAAGTCCCTTGAAAGGAAGGAGATTTGAGATGATTCCCGAGATTAAGGCAAATGCGACAAAGGCGTTGAAGGACATTACAAAAGAAACATACTAGGACTGTTTCAACAAATGGAAACATCATTGGGATAAGTGTGTGTGTTCAGAAGGAGAGAACTTTGAATGTGACCCAGACATGTAACTTCTATATAAAGTACATTTTGTTTTATGACGCCAGTCCACATATTTTTTGAACAGACCTCGTATACCATATTAATAATGTATTTTTTCGTACATAATCCAAAAAATCTATTTTCCGAACAACCCAGTCCCCAATTGATTCGGATAATTGACGTTTTACTGTAGTACCACAAACTCATTCATATACTGGGATTCCCATGATACCATCTCTCACAAACTGGCCACATTTAGATCACTTGTGTCAAAAGTAACCAAGTTTTCACCATGGTCACAGGCAAGTCTGCTACTGATCAAGTGACATCTTAAACCAGATCTTTAGATCATAAATTGGCTATAAAAGGTTATCAACAGTAATAACCATTTTCTGCTGCATTAAAACCAGGTATCTATTCTGTCATTTTGAAAAAAAAAAAAAAACAGTATAATGAACAGTTCTTGTAAATAGGATCTACTATAAGAGCTATTTTAAAAAAAAATAGCTGAATGCAAATGCACTATCGTATATGACCCTAACAGTTTTCAAACTGCACTTACAAATTGGATTTGTGAAAAAGATGTAGAGGTTTTCTGGGACACCTAATTATCTGAAAGTGTAACAACAGATGTATAATTAGAATTTTGGAACAAATTTATATTTGTCATTTCTAAACACCTGTCCATTATTAACTAGGATGCCATTTTATTAAACGTTTCTTTGTTTTTTATACTTAATACAATAAATACCTCTAAAATCATTAAGAATTTAGTAAAAGGCTTAAATTTATTTTATTCATTTATATAGTATTAATATTGTATTTTCAGTTATATTTTTCCAATCTGTTCCAGTATGTANGTTATGGGCTTAAGGGGTTAAAGAAAATTAATAAACATCTAATTGAATTTCTCCAGATTCATATATCATATACAGGTATACTTGAGTTACGTCGTTCTCGATTATATATTGTCAAAAAATATATGGAATAATAAAAATGTTTAAGTTGTTTTATTCGATTTTACATCCATCCGCCACAAATATTGAAGTTGTAATATCACTAGAAGTGTTAAAGCACATGAAATCATATTAAAATATGTACAGTACATTTATAGTAAATGTTAATATAATAATCATAAATCCTAGAGAACAAAACATGAAAACATCTGTGTTTCTGTGTTGTCTTCTTATTTAGCAGTTCTTATTAAGTGCTCAATATTGGTGTTTTCCACATAGCTCCAATATCTACCGTTTGGGATCATTGTCAGTGCCACTCGATATTGGTAAATTTAATATGAATTGGTTTATTTTCTACTGTCGCAAGATTTAATAACTGTATTTTCTACTGTCGCAAGGTTTAATAACTGTATTTGTTATTTAACCTTACAAAATCATCTTATTTTATGTCTTAGAGCAAACCACATTCACAAATAGAGTCCACGATGTACTGTAAATATTGCCAAATTATAAACATGTATACATTTACAAGTATTGTACTGTATGTACATGAATTCGTAAATTTAGATTACTTGTTTTCTATACTAAATTAAAATTTATTTATTTGTAAGCTTAAAATATATTCTTATTAGCCATATATTATTAAAAATGCATTTATCAATAAACTACAGAACTGGGAATGGTTATTTGTGGTTTAGCCTAGTGACAAGTAAATTCGGAGACAGGTAAATTCGACTTATGTCATTTTTTGACTTAAGTCGCCTCTCCTGGAACCAATTACCGACGTAAGGCGAGGTATACCTGTATTGTTAAAAGTATTAAATTTTAAATACACATTGATATTAGAATTATTTCTTAATTAAAAGGGATGATGATTTGACAATGAAAATGCGTACAAAAAATGAAAGCACATAGATAAAATGACAATCACAATGAGGATAAGGAAATTTCCTGAAAATAATTTGAAAGCATTATTATTTATAAATTGGATAAATGTACAGCAGTACATCATACCATATTATGTTGTGAGCTGCCGGGAGGATTGGGAATTTCCTCTCCTTCCCAGTAACCTACTTTCTTGTCAAGGATGGCATTTATGTTTTGTTACGCGTTACGCGAGCGAAGGAGAGTCAGAGGGGTCGACGGTAAGACGTTGGCTAAGTCCAGTAAAGACATCATT